GAGTGTTGAAACACCCTCCAAAGGCGTGCCCCTTTGTCAATTAAAAATTGGATTCATTAGCAACACAATTAAGGAATGACACCGATAATGACCATGCATCAGAACCATAGTCTTAACCCCCTTCAAACTACAGAACAACGAATAGAAGATTAGGAATCACATAGATGAAGACTAACTAACTCATTTTTTCCTTGTTTCAAGATCATCCTCGGTAGACAAAGCCGAGTCTTGTCACTATCAACAAGGCATAAAAAGTAACAAGGACTAAGATGTGTTCCTTGGATTACTGAAAAATCCTGTTCCCCTAGTTTGAAGTAGTCAGGGCTTTGAATCGGTGGCAGATCTTACATCCCGTAACGTACCACAAAAAGATGATCTACCTACGTTACGGGGCATCGATAGCTTACAAAATCGATTACATTGTGTGAATGGTGCTCTTCACTGAAATTATTTTTAAGTTTTGTAGCAAGCTGATTGCAAGTTTTGGCCATATTCCATTAGAAGTGATTTAATAGTGTGTACATGCAGTTATACATTCACATATTGCAATCGCATATCAGTGTCAACTTTGCTTGATTTTATATTGATATGGGATAGTAATGCGGTTAGGGATAGCTTATTACAATTATGGGCGCTGGTCAGCAAGGAACCAACTTTGAATTTACTACTGGATTCAACACAACGAAATTAAATTGCACCAACTTTACCTTCACTCTATCTACAAATAATAATAATAATAATAATAATAATAATAATAATAATAATAATAATTAAATAACTACAGAATAAAAACTTATTTCAACTCTTTCAGTGCTTTCCGGAATTCCGAAATATGATCAAAAATGAGTAAAAGCTAAACACACGTACCTAACCCCAACTACCCAACAATATATCACGTGCGATAGAGGTAGCAAACGGAAATCAAGAACAACGATAATGCATTTCTAAGAATACTTATCAACTGGAACAAACTCACCAAATCTATCCATAACGTATTTCCAATGGTGCGGATTTATACATTATGAATTCAAATTACAACTTCCTTTGCATTCACTTGATTTCGAAGTGGCAGAAAACGACCCGAAACTCGTCCAGCATATACAAAATGTATACATGTTGCATAAGGCAGACGGGCCTCGAATCATTCTCCACGATAACCACCGACAAACCGAAATGAATGACCATTACTCTGCGCATATTTTCCTCCAGCCGATTCTTGTCACACAATCATTAGATATGATCTACTTTTCATTCATAAAGCCCGATTCAAAGTAAATTTGGACGCATTCAAGTGATCATAACTCAAGAATTAAACAACATACACGGTTGATCAAAACGTCAAACAAAAGGGTATTTATTACATTTCACCGTTTCGAACGAACTGTCGCACTTTATTTGTGATCGATGCCATCATGATCTGCACAGCCGCTGGTGACACTGTACCGGCGAACTTATTCCACTTTAAACGCATTTGTTGTGCATTTGTCACTTCTTTACCGCATCCTCGAAGTTTTCGCTTGACAATTGCCCAATATTTTTCGATCGGTCTGAACTCAGGGCAATTCGGAGGATTGATCTCTTTGGCGACCTAGTACCTCCTTAGAGTAGTGGCAGTTGGCTAGATCCGGTCAAAACATAACGTTGGTCTTGTGTTGCCGAATGAAGGGTAAAATCCGCTTTTCAGACACTCTTTAATGTAAACCTTCGACGTCATTGTGTGAGATGTGATGAAAACCTTGGTTTTAAGGCCACAACTGCAGATTCCTTGCCAAATCATTAGTTTCCGAGCAAACTTATCAGAAAAAAAAACAAATTTATACCGTGAAGGGACATCCCCACCAGTTGCCAGGTAAAATTTTCGTCCGGGGATTTGTTTATAATCCATTTTGACATATGTTTCGTCATCCATTAAAATACAGCCATCAAATTTAGTCAAAACTCGTTCGTATAGTAACCGTGCTCGCTTTTTGGTCACTAAATTTTGTTTCAGGGAGCGATTCGGATGTTTACTGGTACAAAAAGACTTATATTTTTCTCTTGATAGGATGTTACGCACGGTGGAAAAGTTGGAATCGTATTTCTTTGCCAAATCACGTATGGAGACACCTGGGTTGCTTTTCACGTACCTCAGTACCTTTCTCCTCAGCTCTTTGTTCCTAGTGCCACTTTTATGATAGATGCGCTGTGCTCTATCCACACTCAGAGTATCCTTGTAACGTTTGATTACAGAACTCACCGTTGACTTTGGACATTTTAAAACTTTTGCTATTTTTGAGACAGACCACGAAGGGTTCTCTAGATGTTTGTGCACAATGAATTTCCTTTTCTCAAGTTCCATGATCCGTAATTTCGGGATGCGTTGATTAATCGAGAAAAACTTTTCACCAATTTCTTCGCCAATGAAACATCAACAAATGCCTGTCAAACGTTTCTTGTTGCAACCACCAGGGGCGCGGTGGTGTATTAAACCGTGCGTCCAGATTTACTTTTAATCGAGCTTTATCATCGACTTTCGACGGCCGCAGCTAATAAACTTCTGCTGGAGGGAGGCCAAGTCAAAGTTTGGTGGCCAGTAGAGTGTTTCAGCGTTATATGGAAAACAGTCGAAGTCTGGAATTTCAAACGCTACCCCCTGGAATGGCAGAGCACCCTGCCAAAATTTGAAGTCATTTGGTTCACGGGAACCCCTCGCTCAAAGGGCTTGTAGTTTGTATGGGAAAAATCGACAAAATGTATGGGAGAACAAGCCACTTTCACATTCGTGGCTATAGGTGGCGCTGTAGCTGGTCGATTATCTTCGTATACAAAATGTAGAACGTTTGGAGTATTAGGAACATCTTGGCTCAAGACCGGATGTGAATCCTAGTTAACCGCGAAAAGTTATTAGCATTTCAAATGAACACCGCCTGCCTTACTTTTGGTGAGGGCCTAACGCGCTTTGTGCGGTTTTTATTTGAACGAACAGGCATACGAATTGCAACTTTTTCTCCATGAAATTGGTTAAAATTTTCGCAGTGGTCTACTGAAAATTGTAACAGATTGGCCAAGTGCTTCCGGTTTTATTTCGGGTTTCTGAGAGGCCGTCGGGGTTTTAAAAGGTACCAGTCGTCTAGTACAAGGTGATACTAGAAATCCACAGCAACAACAGGCATCTATTAATATCTAGGGGAAATGGCTCTAATGTTGGCCTATGGATCTAAGATTGGGCCCATAGCTAAAAATCTGCTATTTATCAATTGTATCTAGATGAACGCGTCATTGGGACGGTACTAATGGATATTTTTGGTTGCTATTGAAAATTTAGTCGATTGCTGAATTTATGTATGGGCCCCAATTAGGGACACTTAGGCCGACATTACATACATTTCCCCTATATAGCAAAACAATCCCACAACCTTGATCTTGATTATTATGTATTTTGGTCAACGTATGCCTTGATTTTTCTCTGGAACTATATGAAATGAATAAAATGGTGATTTTTGATATAGGGGAATTTACGTATTCTCGTCAATCTAAGCAGCTTCCGCACTTCTATTAGCATTTTTTCAGTGTCACGCACACATATGACGTGTCTGTTTGTTTACATTCATCTGCTGCTAGCTATTCTATCCAGTCCAATCAACAAAACTGTCCAAAACGGTTTGAAAACGTTTTTAAGGCGCTCCAAACTTCTCAGGTGAGTGTGACTATTGTCGGCAGCCTCTTTTACTTCGGCAACCTTTCCGTTTAAACTGCGTGTTAACCAGCTGTTTTATTATCGGCAACTCGAAATCAGCCGTATTTTGATGTGCTTATGTTTCTTTTGAAGAAACACCTAGCATAACAGGTTTGCTCAGTCGTAAAAATGTATAAGGATTGAAGCTGAAAGACTAAGGAATCGTTTAAATACATTCAGCGAAGTGTTTTAGTGAGAAAATACATCGAAATTAACGTTTAAATTGTGGTTGCCCAAAACAGTCGATGGCTGCCGAAGCCATCATTTACCCTATTAGCTGGTCACTGGCTCCGAGTGAAGTTTGATCAAAGTAGGCTTTGATTTTTTTTTCTCCAACTAGATGGAATCCGCTCCGAGCGGTCACCACGTGACACTCTGGAAGATCTGGAACATCCGTAAAATAGCTTTCTGTGTAAATCGAATCCAAACTCATCTCCGATGGCATTCATCCCGAAAAGCAGTATACCAAGCATTGCCTCTCACGTAGGAAATGAGCACCCATGTTGTCGCTCTTGCTCGATGATCTAGTGTGTAGCGCACCCGTTTCGGTCTTAGTAGTAGGTACCCAACGCGAGGCATTGCGAATTTCCCATTTGCATCTCAAAGATGTTCTGTTTCGCTTCGAGGAGTGAGTGGACAGAAAACCAACCACGGTACTGCTGCTACTGGGGCCTCGCGATGTCGGTGTGGATCGCCGTCAGTTGAGAGCGCGCTTTCATCGAATTAACACGTGGATTTCGCCTGCAAACAGTTCGCATATCGGCTCCGACACTCGTCTGCTTGGTGGGCTGTGCTATCAGTAGCAGCAGGAGCAGGAGCAGGACATTCGCTTCACTATTTGATCGTCGCTCGGTTCGGCTCAGCAGACCCGGTGTCATTCGTGCGTGTTGTGACAATTTCATGTTCGGCAGTGGCGGGTGTTCGACGAAATGGATTGATGGATTGGTGAAGACATAAACGTGCCAGTGGGAGATGAATGCAAAGCGCCCGATGATGATGGTGATGATGGTGCAGTTGTGAATTGGCAATGCATTTGAAAGTGGAGGAGTAGCGAGAAGATGGAGGGCCGTTTGTAGTTCACCTGCTCAAATAGTTTTATGTGAAATAGTACAGAGTGTGTGCATGGTCGATTGGCAAGCACATAACAATTACCGCGGTTCGGTTGGCGGGTAAATTGAGTTTCGTTTTGTGTAAACTTGATACATTCGATGGTAGGATTTATATTCCATGCAAAAATTGGATTTGTTCATTGGCCCCGGACTAATTGCTTGGATTGTGTGGAATAAAAAAAAAACGTCGGAACTGCGCTGCCGTTCTACGCATATCAGTCCCATGTTTCAAAAGTAGCTTTTGAGAAAATCGCGAATAATGTTTCGAATCATTTCTGCTCATTGGAAGAAATATACGTTAAAATAAGTTAACGCATTGTTCACATTTCAACAGAATCAATATGTTTTAGTGAAAACTACAGAAATCACCTTCAATGAAATCAGTTAAGCCTATTTTTATACGAATAATATTTAATGGGACTGTTATGCCTAGAAATTTGCAGTGAAGTAGGAAATTCTACGCATGTTAGTCCCACTAGGAACTGTTACTTTCAGTGTTGCTTTGATGCCCACGTTGCGTTTGACATCTTTACTCTTGTGCTTGCATGAGCGTGCTTGCATTCTCCGCGAAGTTTTGGAAGATCCTGGATAGTTTGTATAGCTTTCCATCATTCAATTATACCAACAATTTGTTGGCATTGCTACTTCTATAAAACCATTAAAGTTATGGGCATTTCAAGAAACTAATGATGAATGTACTTTTTAGAACATAAACTTATTAACATCTTGTTCTACTCCTTAGCAAGATGAACGTAGGACTAAAGGTGATTGTGCTTAATCATTTTGAGTCCGACCATAGATTTATGGCTGCTGACATGCTGTGGACAAAAGATCAATACGTTACACGATCGTTGACCGTGGGCTTTGATGATTTCAAGAAATACTTTGGAAGAGTTGACATGCACATGCAAATTTCTGCCGTACGGAGTTGACCTTTATACTACGTATTATCATATTATAAAAGCGGCTTTTCATGAAACACATAGACACTTTAGGAGAGTGTGGGGGTGGCGAATGTCTACGTAAGTGTCTAATAATGCATTGTTTGAAATTAGATGCTGGTGTTTTAATATGAAATCCCGTTTTTCTTAATATTTATCAACATAAAATACAACGTTCACTTCCTAAAATGGTTCATATCGTTTCTTTTGATTATATAAATCCTGTTTCAATAATTTGTGTACACAAATCGATTCGTTAATGATAGATTCAGTCAAGAAAATCTTTGTGGGACAGTTATACGTAGAATTTCAACATGGGACAATTAGACTTGATGTTGTTTTTATACAAACCCAGAACTAATTATATGGCTTTCTATTTTCATTCCAAAGTTTACCTAAAAAAGTACTGTTTTATGAACAAAAATGAAAAACTTCCAAAAGTAACATGGGACAGATATGCGTAGAACGGCAGTGCGTGAATTATATGTTTTTAGTTGCGAGGATACAGTTTAATTCTATTGCCTAATCCACTTCTTTTCTCGTTCATTGTTTTAAATTCGGGATACATGGAATGTAAATAACATCACAAAAGTTCCTCCCAAAATCATTTCACTCCAGATGGAAAGCAAATCCGAAAAAAAAGTGCACTAAATCTATCAAGCATCGTGGCTTGTGGTGGTTGTCGTCGTCGTCGTACTGCAGCGGAGAAAACGGAAAAGTTGGCTAATGAGAGTGCAATTTGGCTAAGTTGCGAAGAACCGAAGTGCTGGTGGAATAAGATTAAGCGGTTAAATGCATAATGCCAGAGACTAATGGCAACAAAGGAAGTATCATCCAGCTGCTAATGTGACTTGCAAGCTGTTGAAAGTGAGTGATTTGAAGTTTTTCGTTGGTGGGCCATCCATTTGTCAGAGTGCAAATTGTAAATGAATTGTGTGTTACAAGCCGAGCGGGGGTGTTTTTTTTTAAATAAGTTTATTTGTTAGGCTCAAATGTCCAAGGACTCCACGGAGCCGAAAACCAGTGAAGAAAAATGTTTATGAGTCCTTTTTAGTCTTCCTGGGAGGTGACTTGAGCTTAGCTTCCAAAAGTATCGAAGTTGCCAAGTGTTTAAGCGGAAAGGATATTACATTTAAATTTCTGGTAAGTTATGGTTAGCATAGTCGCTTATGAATTATGATGCGCTGAAAAACGTGCAATTTCACTTGGAAAGTAAAGGAAGGTTCTACTACTGGATCAGTCAGTCAGGTCAGCTCGATAATACTCAGCCACCTTTCTCGAAAATGGTTCAACCGATGGAGATGTTTTTGTTCGGATCTGACTCCAATAGGCGGCTACCTTAGCTCAATCGCTTATCTGAAGGCACTTTTTTGCAACTTTAATGTACCTCGGTGTTTTCTTCACAGGAAGTTAGTATTGATCCTAACTATCAAATCTGTAAAGGTTTTAAAATATTTCATATAGGGTTTTTTGAGAAAAAGTGATTTGAAGTTTACTTAGCCGTTTATGAAAGCCTATAGGGACTATGGACGATACAGAACTATAACACAGGGCTGGTAGCGAGTCACTTTTTAGTGACTTGGTCACTTTTTTCAAGACAGTGACTAAAAAGTCACTTTATTTTTAAAGCCAAATCACTAAGTCACTTTTTCTTGTAATAAGTCACTATTTCAAACTTTTTTAAACGTGAATTTATTTCACGATTGATCATTCTTCTGGATAAGCCTACATTTTGTTCTATTTTTGAACGATTCGAAGTTGACGTACTGGAAAAGAGTTTTTTTTTTTTAACATTCAATCGTTCTTCTCTATCTACAGGGTTTCCAATCATTAGGCAAAAAAAAGTTCCCTGGGTTTTCCAGGTTTTTCCATAACTTTAGCGGATAATTTCCAGGTTAATAATAAGAATGCTATTTATGAAATCGTAAAAAATATGTTTTTAAGACATGATAATCAGTTTTAAAGAAACAGCTAGATTTGATACCATTAAATGCTGCAGTTGAACACTTAATTTATTTTAGTAAGTCTAAACTCACAACATTTTAAATGTCTTGACGTCTCGTACTAATAAAAATGTGGAAAATTTTATGAAGTTCTATTGATCTCAGAAAAGCTAGATCTAGATATCTTTGGAGAATTCTAGAGATGTTAAGGGGAAGTCCCCGAAGCTTTAGCCCAGACTATTGAATTGGTTTAAAATCCTATAAGCGTGAGCTTGGACAAATTCAGGATAGTTCCATGAGGTGCTGAAATAATATCGAGAACCAATAAGATGTTCCGAAAGATTCAGTACAGAGACCGTCAGAAAATTAATTACAACTTCAGAAATATTTCAGGATCTTCACGGAAATCCAGAGAATTCCAGGGAAGTTCAAAGGTGTTTACGGGAATTCCATTTATTTTAAAGCAGAACCGAGATGTTCATTAGGGTTGGGAGTTCTAGGGGAACTTCGAAAACATCAAGACAGATCAGAGAATTAAAGGGCAGTTCGAAAAATTTCAAGGAAATTACAGAAACCGGAATTTTGGGAAACTTCGGTTTGCTCAGAGAAAAATTCTGGACCGCAATGAAAATTATATGAACGACCGGAAAATGTGACAGTATTTCAAGGGTGTTATATCATGGAAATTTCAAGCTCTAAAGAAAATTCGAAAATTTAGCTAAGTTGATAAGAGAACATCAACGAAGTTCCATTAATTAAAAACGGCGAGAACTTTTAGCAAGCACTGATATTTTCAAGAAATTCCAGAGAACTTCTAAGAAATTTAGATATTTTTAGATTGTTTCATAATATATTCAGTGAAGTTCCGAGTACGTCAAGGACGATCAGATAACATCAGAAAACTCACATTAACTTAAGGAAATTTGCAGCGTCTTACAAGGAGTTCCTTAGAATTATGGGATATTCCGAGAAGTCTATTATTGATCCGAAAACTTTAGAAGCTTCAGGAAATTCTAAATATATATATATATATATGAAAATTTACCGGAACATTTGCAGGGCTGTTACAACAGGCGCGGATTTCGCGAATTTCGCGGATTTCGCGATTTTCGCGGATTTGTTGCGGATTTGAACTTTCAGTCGCGAAAATCGCGGAAATATTAAATGATGTCGCGAAAATCGCGAAGGGACTGATGTGCTGTCACAAAAAATGTGGAATTCATTGTAACCTTTCCGTCCCGGATTATTTTGCTGTCATAAGTTTTGTTGTACAAACACCCTGCAAATAATCGAGAAGTGATCTCAATTCCTTAAGTCACACCGGATTTACATGGAAATTCCGTAAGGTCTGTCCAATGTGAGACATTTTCATGTTTTTATTATTTCCAATATGAACATAGCATTTTTTGTTGTCAAATCATAAACGAATCGTATATATGCGGGTAATTGTATACCGGATATTCTAGGTTCTCCAAATCGTCCTGGAGTTCAGTTGATTTGTTCTACTATATCAACCAAGACTGCAATAATGTCTGTAGTATCGAAATATGTCCAAACAGATTCAAAGTGTCTATGTGGATCGTGCCCGACCTATTGCTACGTGTACAAGATGTTATAGGTTCTGAAATCATTCTGGAGATCAGATTATTTTTCTACTAGATCACCCAAGCCTTATTCAATATCTGTAGTATCGAAGTGTCCAAACAAATTTGCAGTGTCTATGTGGATCATGCCAACCTATATTCGTGTATGCCAAATATTTTCTAAGGATTTCCATTTCGATATTTCGATACTACAGATATTATTTCAGTCTTTGTTTATCTAGTAAAACAAATCATCTGAACTGCAGGACGATTTGGAGAACCTAGGTCATCTGGTATACGTGGAAATAATTAAACATTATCCATATAGCAACTATGAATCTGTTTGGACATATCTCGATACTACGGACTGTATACCAGTCATGGTTGTTCTAGTAGAATAAATCGTCTGAACTCCAGAACGATTTGGAGAACTTAAAACATCTGGTATATATGGCAATAGTTCATGCATGATCCACATAGACACTGTGCATCTGTCTGGAAATATTTCGATACTAAAGACATTGTCCCAATCAGGGCTGGCAAATGACATTTTCAATGAAAGATCTCACGCGATATTTACTGAGATACTTCTGTCACTATCATCGGATGGGAAAATGATGATGAAGATTTTCACAAAATCTCATCGAATTTTTTGTCATGACAGAACGTGACAGTGTTGTGTTCATCGTAATTACTAGCTCATTTATTGCTATTAATGTTGCTAGTTCCAAGGAAATCTTAATAACATATTCATTCAATCGATAACATACGGTTGCTTGCTTTAATTCATCTAAATCAGTTAGAAATGTTGATGCCACAACCGTATAAGAATTATTCTCATGAGTGCTTGATCATTGGAAAATGACAAGAAAGCCAATGATAGGTAGTCTCGTCTCGTGATAGTGAGAGGGCCTGTTTTCTCATTGTCACATGACGGCTGTGATATTTACCAGCTCTGGTCCCAATCTCGGTTGATCTAGTAGATCAAATTATCTGAACTCCAGGACGATTTGAAGAACCTACAACATCTGGATTACTCGGAAATAGATCATGCATGATCCACATAGACACTTTGAATCTGATTGGACATTTTTCGTTACTACAGGCATTATTGCAGTCTTGGTTGATCTAGTAGAACAAATCAACTGATGTCCTGGACAATTTGGAAAACCTTTTTTTTTTATTATAATTAAAGTCATTTTAACACTCTTGGGTCATTCGTGACTTGTCCAGGGGTGAGATTTGAACTCGTGACTTTGGCGTGAGAGGTATGGATGCTAACCACTACGCCGGGGTCGCCCCCTTGGAAAACCTATAATTCCCAGTACACATAGTAATAAGTCGTGCATGATCCACAAAGTCACATATATATGATTCGGTTATGATTTAACAACGAAAAGGTTCATATTAGAAATAAAAAAAATCATGAAAATATCTTACCATTGGACAGACCCCAAGGAATATCCGTGTAAATACAGAACCGCGACGTGACCAACAAGTGTGACTTATGAAACTCTGGTAATTTCTCGATTATGTGCAGGGTGTTTGGTTTAAATCGGTCAAAATTGAGAAAACTAGAGCCAAATTAACTACAAAATATAGGACAGCAAAATACGTCAGAGACGCAAAGGTTAACTTTCAAGAAAATTTGCATTTAAAATAAAAATGCATTTTTTAAATAATGCTTCATCAAATCTAGGCCTGTATCATTCAATAGAAACATTAATAAATAACTGCATTTTTTTTTCAAAGGTTACAAACGATACTCCTCTAGCTCAGTCGGTAAAGGCGCAGCTACAAAGCAAGTCCGTGCTGGAGGCGACTGAGTTCAATTCCCGTCCGGTCTATTAATTTTTCGGGTTGGCAAATTTCTCTACTTCCTTGGGCATAGGATGGTACAGGCATAGAAAGCTCTCAATTAAAATGTGAAGGTACTTCAAAGAACACTAAGATGAGCGCAGGAAAAAATCTAATATGCTATAAACAATAAGCATGAAATGCCATGTAGTAGTATACAAATGGTATTTTTAGGCAATGAAAACAGTTTTTTTGTTGTTGTCGCGGATTAGTATTTGAAGTCGCGGATTTCTTTTGAGAAATCGCGGATTTCGCGGATCAAATTTAGAAAATATTGCAACAGCCCTGCATTTGATCAATTAAGAGAAATTCAGGAAGCATAGAAAACTTCTTGCAGGGAAGATAAGTGATTAAAGGCAAAGTTCCATGAGCGTTTATAAACTTTATAAAACTTAAGGAAAATTGTAGCACTTAAAGGCAATTAAATCAATTCCAATAAAATGGTGACTTCTATTAAAAAAATACTGAGGCAGGGTAGTCTAGTAAATTTTAAGGAAACTGAGAAATATTCTGGGAAATTTTAAAAACACCAGTAAACTCTAGACTATTGAAGAAGTTATGAATTAGTTTCGATACTTTGAACTTCAGACAAATCTTGAGAACTTCAGTGAAAATCATAGAACTATATTCATTATAAACATTTTAAGGGAAGATCCGAGAATTCCAGGAACTATAATGGACATTTCCAAAAATAACGGGAATTACAGGGGAGTTCAGTGCCGTTAGTTTCACTAAATTCTCCCGTTCTCACGAAGTTCCC